CACATGAAAACAATTATTTCCTCCTGCAGAATTACTTTCCATAGTTCGTTCAGATATAAGTACCTTGCAGAGAAGCATTGTAAGGAGGAGAGAGGGGATAAAAATCTGTTCAATCCCGAAGCTGTGATTTCTGTGCCACTGTTTTACCCGAGATGTGTGTGTCTGACTTCAAATTCTAAGACTCGCATGGAAATCGCTAAAAGCTAAGTTAACAGAGCAGACTTCTGCTCTGAAGTTTTTGGCTGTGGGGAAGGTTTATTTGGAGGTTGAGGTAAAAGGGTAACTATATAGTGAGTACATTTTAAATGCTATGGAAAGCTATTGGAAGAATTTATGACTTCAGTTCTGTAGGGATGAAAATTTCTCCAGAGAGCCATATAAGGCTATTTTTTCAAATATCTAAAACTAATATTACAAGGTTTGTTCTCTAACACATTGCTAAAACGACTTCCCAGGGGAAACAAAAGCAAATCAAATACCTGAATCACTAACATTTTTTCCAGTTTGCACACCAAGATGAGACAGTATTTTAACAAATAACACGGCTTCAGAAAGACCCAGTTGTCTATCGAACATGTCTGAACTTAAAGCAGACTTGCTTGTATAGGATTTTTTTTTCTTTGGCAAGCCTGATTTTTAGAGAGATTCATTACGGAAACATTTAACAGATGTTATGTTTATGGAATAGTGCATTGAAATTCAGCTGTGGGTAAGAAATCGTTCTTAGAAGATGTCTACTGGAATACTTCTATTTTGTCTTTTTTTAATTGAATTTGATAATAGCTTTAAACTGTGATAGGACAGAAAGTAGACACTTGTCAAAACCCTGGCATCTTTCTCTGTTTTGTTTCTTCGTGGTTTTCTTTTTTCCATTGACCATAATTCTTGTGATTTGTTGTTGGGAGTGAGGATTGCATTGGAGGTGTAAAACTGTACCATATTGTGAGATTTGCACGGGGTGGCTAAAGATGCTCATCCTGCAAGACTGTACAGGAGAGGCGTATTTAGACCCATGTTCTGTAGGAATCTTTTGGCACTTGGGGACCAGTTTCTGCAGTACCGGTTGTTGGGATGTAAATGAAACTACGCGACTCCTTGGCAGAAAAGAGAGGAAATGCAACCGTCTGCAGAGAAGCATCTGTGCGGTCTTGGGCTGAGTAGCAGAATCCCCACAGCCCTGGCTTTTCAAAATGGCTGTGAAGTCGTACCTGTTCATAGAGTGTATTTAATCCTTTCAGTACGTTTGAATGTGCAATAAACCAGTCAGATAGGAGGAAAAAAAAAAAAAAGCAAAATGGATTATTGCCCAAAAGCTTTGCATGCAGTCTCATGTGGATTTTTCACTAAAAGAGTTTAAGAAAAAAAAAACAAACAACCCAAACCCAGTTACTAAAGCCCACTACTAACAAAAATCCTATCACGCAAGCTCTACATGCAGCACAGCTGGCTCAGTAAAAACCAAGCGAGGTGAAGGTAAAGGCCCTTGATTTGGAGATCTATAGGTCAGGTGGTAGCTTTATGTCAATGACACGGTTGAAATATGATAGTTCCTAATGTCTTTGCTAGGTCGGTGTTTTATTGAATGCACAAAATAAGAATAGGCAAGGATTGTTGTTTTGAAAAGTCCGTCTGTTTTTTGCTGTATTTAAAAGCCCGTGTCAGGGTACCTCCTCCATGCTGACAGTAACGAGAATAGGGCACTGTCTTTTTAATTATTTCAGTTCTCTTTCGAACAGCTGCACCACCTCTCCCATCGTGTTGTCTTTGCAGTTTTGTGCCACTTCAGTGACGATGAAGACATTTTTTTTTTTGTGTTGTTCTGTACGTGCGTTTGAGGCAGGCCTTAAAGCTGGTTGGGTGGATGGAGGAAAATAAAGCGAGGCGGAATGGGTTTTAAGCGATGGCTTGCTCTTCCTGTGGCTGGTTTCAAGGCCAGGGAAGGGTGAAATGCAAACAAGAGTCTGCATGGCTTGAGCCATTGACTCTCTGAGGTCTCGGGAGCTCTCCGGCTAACCTCAGCCGTCTGAACTTGTATGTTTATTCCCACTTGGTCTGCCAGCACTTGAACTGGTTGTTACTTCTCAACCTTGCCCAAAGAATAACATCGAGTCTGGTGTTCATTTTGTCCTTGCGCGTTCCACCCTGTACACTGATACTCTTGGATCTGACCTGAAGGAAACACAAGGTACGGTGTGTCTTTTGTTCCTGTCCTAAAGGCAAACCTAAAAGCTGGTCCGTTGGCACAGACCTCCAGTGCTTGCCCTGATACTGCTCATCAGCCTATACTATATGCTCAGGGATGTAGGAAACCACCACTTTGCTCGTGTTTTAAATCGGGAAGAAAGGAGACTGTTTTATGAATGTTAGCGCTAACTTGGGCATTATGTTAGACGAGACCCTGCTTCAAAAAGGCTGCTCGAAGCTCCGGATGGTGAAATCGGCGTTTGCTCAGCAGTATGTACTTAGTTCAAGTCGAGGTGGTTATGAAATCCAACAGATTTTGTAAATTAGTGATCCAGCCACCGGGCCCTCTGGAGCCGGTGCCCAGGTTCAGGGCCGTGTGGCACAGCGAGTTCCCAGAAACACAGTATGGATCTGTTTTTAATTTGTTAATTTTTTTGTTCCTCAACCACTTTATAATGTATTTTTTTAATTTATTATTTTGTAATGTCATGTTTAAGTATTGCTGCTATCCTTGTTATTCTTCCCACTGTTTTTATTGCAGATTTATTTTGTGAAAGTTGTACACTAATGTTTCATTTTATGTCTAAATCAAAGTATTTAAAGAAATACTAGTTCTATTTAATGTGGTTATGGAACCAGCTGGAATAAACAGTGATTGTATAGTAGGCTGGACCCAGGAGGTCATGTTCATTTTTGTTACATATGCAATAAACTCACAACTTTAAGATCTTGGTATCCACCATTTTGTTTGTTAAAATATTTATGGAAGTCAGGGGGAAAATTGATAACGCTCGTAATTGAAGCGTGGTAGCGCTGTGCTCAGCTTAGCTGGAGGTGGGGGTGGAGGATAAAGGCAGAGCGTTAAAGGCGGCAACAGCAGAAAAATGTTGCTGTCGTTAAAAATTCTGTAGCGTTACAAAACACTGGGTAAGGTTTAAAAAAAAAACCAAAACCAAAAACAATTGTTTGCTTGACAGAGCCAGGGTTCAGTGTGATGAAGCTGTCCTGGCGGTGGCGGTGGCTGGGCTCGTGACCATCGAACGGCCGCGTTTTCTCACCAAACCGGCTCACGCTGTTCTGAGTACCAGCACCTCTGCGGCGGGGTTGTGGTTGTGGTCGCTAACTCAGTGGACAAGGCATGGAAATGCGACTGATCTAAGGGATTTATATAGACTGCCCAGACACAACAACTCCTTTCCAGGTAGAACACTTCGTTTCATTCGTTCTTTTAACTGATTAATTACCAGCCCTCACCTTTTTCCCTTTTTACTTTATTTGTCCTGTCATTTTTGGAAGAATCTCAGTTTTCAGGAAAAAAATGATAATCCCCCCCCTTAATGAGAGTTGGAGCAAGATTCGTTAATGCTGATGAATCTCTGCTTTCCTGTATTTTTTCTAAGCAGTAGTGTTTTGCAAGTGGAGAAAGACGGGTGCGCGTGAGGACGGTGCTGGCAGCGATCATTCAGCGCTCGGTACGGGTGTGCGCTGCAGCAGAGCCTTCCCGCTCTAAAGCTTATTTTGTTTGGTGTTTTGTTTTTTTTTTTAAAGGGGGGAACAATTCTATAATGTGCTTTATTCTTTTGAGTAACTTCACAATATGATCACATGCACCAACATACAGTGAGCGAAGGACTGGGGAGCTGGTTCCGCCCAGCCCCTCGTTTCAGCCAGCAGCAGGGATTGAGCAACTTTCGCTCGATGATTTGGAGCAAGAAATGCTGTCAGCCCTGCTGTCCGCAGGTCAAACGCTGGTCCTACTTTGTGTTGCCTTTAATAACTACTTTTTGGGAAGTATTCCTGATTTCTGGTATCCTTTTGGTGTGCGGGCATAGCTAAGAGAAAAGAGGGTTCCTGTAGCCTGCTCCGGTGGATGCGGTGGGCTGTTCAGGGGTTGCTGTAGGACGTCTGCGCTCTGTGAACTTTTTGAAGACGTGATAAAAAAATTAATATTTCTCTGAAGAAATCTTACAGGGCTCAAGTAATTGACTGTCTCTTTTATGGAAGCTTGGCAAGACAATTAAATTCCTCAAGTTAAATTTTCCAGTCTCTGCCTCTTTCTGCAGGACGTACAAAGCCAGACTCTGAGCAGGAGCACTGGTCTTGTAGCGGCAATTTCTTTTCTGATTTATGATGATGATGCTCCTGTGTCCTGGGCACTCTGCCTGCTTGGGGAAAGACAGCCCCTGCCCACTCGTACATGCTTTAAAAAGACACGGCAGAATGGGTTTTGAATCACGAGCAAACCTCTTTATATTTTCTGTTGGTGCTTTACAGTTCGATGCCTAGCTAAACCATCCCTCTGGCTTCCCTTTTCAGCCTTTCTTCACATGTGGCTCAGGGTAAAACTAAAACCCCAAAGCTTTGCCAGTAAATAATCACTGATGAAATCCTTTCAGGTGTGGTGGGGGATGGAGGGCGGGAGGAGGGGATGCTGCCTCTCTTTCTGGGCATGCTAATTTGAAACAAGATCAAACAGGATCAGAAAGGGCTTAGAAATTCATACAACCCCCTTCTGCAATCTCACAACTACGCGCTGGGTGGGTGAGGCGCGCGATGCCCACCTGTCCTGCGGACCCTCTCCCAGCCTTGGCCGCAGTGTTATTTTATTCCTCGTACCCCTCTAGGGAATAAGAGCCCCTGACGTGGGACCAGGACGCTGCTGCGTTGCACAGACAGGCAATAAAAGAAAATCTGCCTGGAGAGCTCGTGGCTGGAGGGAAGATGACGGGAAGGAGGTTAGGCGCCAGCAGGTTGAGAAGGACAGATGTTTTCTTGCACCGCAACCTGGCTTTTATGGCCTGCGGAAGAGGGGTGTTTCAGGGGCGGGTACGCGTGGCTTCGCAGATGGCTGCGGGAGAGTCGTGCCAAGTTCCCTGATCTCTGTCCTGGATCCAGAAGCAGTTGGCACCTGAAACGGAGGTCAGGCTGCGGCTGGAAACCATATGGCTGAGCCACAGCGGTCCCTGTGCAGGGAGGGGGGAGAGAAATGTTCCTGGAGGGCTGGGGAGACCCTGGCACTGGCCGTGGTATTTGGCCAGGTTTTAGGACAAGATCTGCGAGAGAAATCTTCTGGACATGGTGATGAGGCGGAAAAGATAAGCAAGCGACGCGAGCCTTGCTGGTCCAACCTGGTCTCTTCTGCAGAGGTAACCCTGGTCAGAGTGCTACCGTACGCTGCATCTTCCTGGGCTGGTGTACAGCATTTGGTCTGGGAGATTTTGAAATTAAATTTTAATTGAATGCTGATTAAATGAGTCCGGCTGCCTCCCCTGATTCCAGTCTGGGACGCGGCCAGGCAAGACCTGCCATCGAAGTCCCGCAGGGGTCGGGTCCGGGAGCGTGTCTGGCCACCGCTGACCCCAAAGGGAGGTGGCCGGTGATGCCCGGCTTGGGCAGCTTTTCCTGAGGGTGCCGAGGACGTGCTGAGGCTGATGCTTTGTATCAGGAAGGGGTGGGGGCGGTGACATGTCTGCACAGCGTGGATCTGGGCTGGATGCTCCGAGGGGTAGATCTGCTTGGCCTGGCTCTGCAGGAGAGTAGCAAACCAACGTCCCCCTTATCTGAAGGGACTGATCCCTGCTGTCTGATGTGGGCTGCATTTACTGTCACCGGGTGCCTGTACTGTCCTTTGACACAGCCTCGTGTTCGGGCATTGGGAGGGCCAGGGCTGACCCCCCCCCTGCAGCACCAGCTCCTGCAGCCACGGACGGGCTGAGCCCCCCTCCTGCGGG